AACAGTATGAAATATAAAGGCTTAGTTTCCTATTTAAATGCTTACAAATGACAGGGAAAGCCTGTAGAAGAATGGAGAGATGTCAGAAAGCTAAAGGCATAAAGAAAACCAATAAAATTTTATTAATGATGAAAAAAAAACAAACAGAAAACAGAGCCGGGCGGTGGTGACACACACCTTTAATCCCAGCACTCGGGAGGCAGAGGCAGGCAGATCTCTGTGAGTTCGAAGCCAGTCTGGTCTATAGAGCGAGATCCAGGACAGGCACCAAAACTACACAGAGAAACCCTGTCTCAAAAAAACAAAACAAAAAAAAGAGAGGAAAAGAATTAGATCTATATAAATATATCAATGTCTGTCCATATATACATACTTACACATGTGCACATCATCCAGAACATGTTTTAAGGAAAGTTTCTAAGGACAATGTAAAGGAAGAAAGGCTCCCTGGAAATCCTGGGGTGACAAACTAAAAAACAAAATTCAATTAAAATTAAAAATGTTCCTTAAAGCAAAACATACTGCTAGGTAAGCCTCTCTAACAAGAAGTGGGCTCAGTTTCTCCTCCTCTAGAGAGGACAGCACTAATACCTAGTCCCAGAAGATTTGTATATGTTTATTAAATGATGTAATTAAATCATCTTATATATTTTCTAATGTATGCTGTGTCAGTTTTCTTTTGCTTTGTCTTATTTTACCACTGTCAATGATGATAACAGTGACTCCTACTGGAATAGAATTTACAACATCTGCAGAATCAAGCAAGTTATCATCTGAATTACTTTTATTCAGTTTAAAAATATAATCTGCTTTGTTTTCTGGAACATAGTGAGCCGTGCATGATTTGTTTTTCCCTGAGATTTCTTAGGTCCCTTCTCTTACTCTTCTTTCTACATCTACACCTCTTGATCTCATTCTCAAATGCAGTGACCTCCAAGCTGTAGGACAGGGTTAGCTCTGCCTCTAAAAATAAGATAGACTCCTTCCCTACTGCCACGCCATCATACTTCTCATCATCGTTCAGAACAAAAGGTCAATGCCAAGAGGGATTCACTCTCTCCCTACTAGGAACCACACCATTACCTATTTACTATTATTATTCAGAGCAAAAGGGCTATGCCAGGAGGGAGGTCAACGACTGATTTCTGACAAAACACCAATTACATTTCATATGGTTAGCTAGAAAGGAATTTGGCTGGTACAAACTTGTTTTTCTGCTCTGGGCTACCCCATAATTAACACAATCCCCAGCCTCTGAGGCCAAAAGATATTAGCTGGAATCTAGAAGAAATAGGTGTCAAAGAAAGAAAGGTAACTAACATATTCTCCTACTTACAAAAAAAATATAACACTGCAATTGCATTCAGCTTTAGTCTCCTCTATGGTGCTTCTGGAGGGAGGGGATTCCATCTGTTCTGTGCTCTGAGCTGCAAGCAGAGTACATATCTATATACATACAGGAGGCTCATTAAAAATACTTGGTAACACATCAATGACTGTATACCTTCCCCATTCAATCTTCATTCTATGTAGTATAGCAGGGAATCCACCTATTAGCCTGCCTAGCATTTGAGTAGGAAGGAGGATTGATTATCAAAATAACAGCAACTCTGGTACTATAAAAGTGCTACCGGAGTCACAGGATAACATAGGCTTACCCAGGGATCCCACAGGCGGTTGCCTTGCGGTGAAAAGTCATGTGTGTGTGTGTGTGTGTGTGTATTTCTGTCCATATATGTGTATTTGTGTGTATAATGCTCATATTACATAACTCTTTGAACCACCACCAGTAGGGCAAGGCAAGTAAATGTGTGTCTCCTCACCCCAATAGTTGCTAACCAAAAGCCTACCTTTATAGAGCTTCTTTTCCATACAAGTTTGTCCTTAGTTACATCCTTAACCTTATTCACCTATATCTACCTAGTGACTGCATGGGGAGAATAACAGTTCTGTAGTGTCATCATGGAGATATTTCATGTCTATATTTATCTTCACAACATCCATGAGGTATATGGAGCATATACTAATAATGCCTGCATTTTATGGATGATAAAACTGAGATCCAGAGTGGTAAAGTGAACTATCAAAATCACATAAGCTAGCAAGTGTTGGTTCCAACACAAGCTGGGCTGCCTAATTCCAAAGCAGATATTTATGTTCCCATTCTTTCTTTTTCTTTTTCTTTTCTTTTCTTTCTTTCCTTTTCTTTTTCTTTTTCTTTCTTTTTTTTTCAAGACAAGATATTGTAGCCCAGTGGGATCTCAAACTCACTGTGTAGTTAAGGATTACCCTAAACTTCTGATCCTCTTGCCTCTACCTCCCAAGTACTAGGATCTTATTCGGTGCTGGACATTGAACCCAAGAATTTGTGCACACTAGGCAGGCAATTCTAGCAATGTAACTACATCCCCAGCTCACCCACGTACCATTGGAACCATCAAAGCTGTCCTGCCCTTTGATCATGTTCTTTGTAGCTAAAACTATTATTTGGGAAAACTGACCCTCTTTCTTTTGAGGATTTTCATGTGCTGTTTCTGTGTTTTATTAGCACTTTTTTTTCTACCCCAGGAGGCAGCAGAGGCAAGTAGAAAGAGCTCCGTATTTGAAGTCAAGTAGGATTGTCTGGATCCCAGCTTTGAAACTTACAAGACCAATGACCTTGAACAAGTCACTTATCTCTGAGCTTATCTTTCTGACCTGTAAAACAGAAATAACACTAACTATCTCAGAAGCAGTTGTGAAAAACAAATGAACTAATAGAGATAGGGACCTCACAGTGCCTAGTACATAGTAGAAGTTAAATAAATATGGATTGCCTTCCCCGTTCCTCTCTCACTCCAACTTGCTGTGCTGGATTGAAAACAGACAACACTTCTTTTGCCCAAAGCTGAAATTCAGGCTTTGATTCATGATCCTACTTGTCTTACTGTAACACGGGGTGGCTCACATTTCAGCTTTTGGTTTATCACTGAAAATGGTTGCTCTCATAACTTTTTAAAAATGTATATTACAAATGTGTGTGTCCATGTTCACATGTGTGTATACATTCTTATATGTGTTGGGGTGCACATGGGGGAGTGTGTGTGTGTGTGTGTGTGTGTGTGTGTGTGTGTGTGTGTATGTATGCACACACGCATGCGGAGTTCTGAAGTTTATACCAGGTGTGTTCCTCAATTGCTCTCCATATTTTTTTCTTGAAACAAGGTCTCTCACTGAACCAAGAGTTTGCCAATTCTGGCTAGTCTAGTTAGCTGGTTTGTTCCAGGGATCCTCTGTCTTTGCCTCCTGAGTGGTGGGATTACAGCGGACTACCATGACTTCTCACCTTTTAGGTGGGCTCTGGGGTTCTGAACTCCATCCCCCCATTTGCACAGCAATCTCAGCTCCCCATAATCTTTTCGTAGTTATTTGGCATACACTGAGAGCCTACATCTGGTGTACCACACACATGTTGGGGGGGCATGCGCGCGCGCGCGCGCGCACACACACACACACACACACACACACACACACACACTCATGTACTTGAACATGAGAACATGTTTCTAAATAATTTAAAAGTTTAAGCTGTTACTCAGACATTACTTCCATGCAATAAAACAGATAAATCAGCCTTCTTCCACTTAATAAGCTAGAACCAGAAAGTTTGGGTTGCCCTTATTTGGGTAGGGAGCTAACTTACTCACTTACTTTGATTTGAATAAATGATGATACTTCATGTCTGTGATTTCTTACCAAGTTCAGATCTCATGTCCTCAGAGCCATATTCCAAACAGACTTTCTAGCAAAGGACGGAGCTACTACTATCCAGTTTCCCATGGGCTAGTTTTAGACTGTCAATGTGGTTTAGCTTGTACCTAGCTATTTCTCTGTTATCAAATTCTCCGCAATGGAGAGTGTTAAACAATGGGCACAAAGGAAGGTACAGTGGGCATAGGAGAAAACTGAGCTAGTACTGGAGTGGTGATACAGGACTTTGATTAAAAAACGTAAGGTCTATGGAGTTTGACTGACAAGAGGGTAAGGAAAGCTTTAAAATGCTTTCCTTATACATTTTGACAGTTTTTAACTGGTTGCAGTGAAAACATTACTGCCATCTTCAACAGTTTTGTTGTGAAATTGTCGAAGCATGTCGAAAGCTAGACAGCATGATGAAACCCCAATTGCTCATCCTTTAGCTTCAAAAGCCATCAACATTTTGGTTGGTTCGATTTGTTCTTTTCCCTTTCTGCTGCAGTATTTCAAAGCAAGAAATGATTTCACTCCCCACTACTTTCGTTGACACCTCAAAAATATGTTTTATTGCATAAGGATTGACACAATTTCTTAATACTAGAATCTAATGCCTGTTCCATAGTTTGTCTTCACCAGTTATATAAAGAAGTACCTTTGCAGTTGATTTATTGTAATCTGGTATATATGAAGAAGAATTTGGTATTGGATTTTCAAAGGCCACACATATTTGAATAATCATCATGTTTTATAGTGGAAAAAGAGAAGCACTCATCTGTGCTATGCATTGTTTCTATTGTCTTTAAAAAAAAAAACATTGAGCTGGACATGGTGGATTGTGTCCATCATCCCAGCACTTGGGAGGCAATGGCAGGAGGGTCAGGAGTTCAGGCTAGCCTTGGCTAAAAGTGAACTCCAGATCAGCCTGGGCTGTATGAATCTCTGTCTCAAAATGCTAAATTTAAACTGGGACATGGTGGTGTACACCAGTAATCCTAGCACTCAGCTTGCTGAAGCAGGATGATTTTTGAATTAGAGGGTACCCTAGGCTAACCAGCAAGATCAAAGGCAGCCATAACTACACAGGCTAAAGATGCTGGAGTCTACTGCAGGAGCAAGAACCATGGTGGTAGCATTTATCTCATCCATTATAAAAATGCAGACCCTTGTAAAATGGTATTTCATTAATTCACACAGCACTGTGAATTTCAGGTCTTTGAAAACAAATTGTGGCTTTTCCTCTGTACCGAGTCCACTGAAAAGTTGCCATGAGCAAGGCCCACCCTTCCAAGCTGAAGAAATTTGTGGACAAGAAGTTATCATTGAAGTTAAATAGTGGCCGACATGTACAAGGAATACTATGGGGCTTTGATCCTTTTATGAATCTTGTGATTGATGAGTGTGTGGAAATGGCAACTAGTGGGCAACAGAATAACATCGGCATGGTAGTCATACGAGGATACAGCATCATCATGTTAGAAGCCTTGGAAAGACTCTAAACAATGGCTGTTCAGCAAAGGAATCCACATCCTTCCTCTAAGGACTGATTGGGGTGTAGAACTGGGTCATGTACATTTTCATATGAAACTTTTTGCTATATAAACTTTTGTGATACTCAAAAAAAGAGAGAGAAAACAAATTGTGAAGCAAACATTGGACAGGCAGAAGACTAGAACATCGCTGGGTAGAACAGAAAGGGAGATACTTGGAGAATGCAGAGGTTACAGGAATTAGGAAAGACAGTCTAACAGGACATTCAACTGTTCAATTGAAACTATTTCTTATTTCACTGATTTCTTTCTGTATGGAAGCAACTCAAGTCTGGAAAACTCAACTGTCATATTTATAACAAGAGGCTAGTCCTACAGGATAACACATATTTGTCAGTACACACCCTAAACCAATTGGTAGGTCCTATTCTCAACTTTAGTTGGAATTCAATATCTATTATTCTACTAGAGAGTTGACCAAAAAGGCTAGGTATAAATCACTGAACTTGATCTCATTCTGCAATTGCATGGTAAAGAAAAACACGAAAGAAAGTCCCACCTGCTTGCTGGTATATTTTTTGGTATGAGAGTATGAATTCCCTCAATAATCTGAGATTGTTGACAACACAATTCAATAACTCTAAATTGAAAGTTACTCATATAGGAAATAAATACTTTAAAAATAAGAAAAAGCCTGGGGCTGTAACTAACTGATAGAACACTTGTCTAGGATTCAAGAGGCCCAGGGTTCCATCCCCAGCCTATAAAAGAGTAGAAGAAAGGACAAAGAGAAATGATAAGGGGGAAAGATAGAGCTACAGTATAAAACAGATCAGGTAGCAAATAATTAAGAGGGCTGGGGAGATGGCTCAAGAGATAAGAACACTTGCTGCTTGTAAGTGTGCAGACTTGAGCTTGGAGCCCCAGTACCCACATAAAAGCTAGGCTGGGCAATGAACAACTGTAGTCCCAGCACTGAGGAGTGCGGCACAGACAGTTGGGTCCCCAGAGCTCAGCGGCCAGTCAGCCTAGCTGAGCAATGACAAGCTCCAGATTCACAAAGAGACCCTGTCTCAAGGAGATAAGGCAAAGAGTGACAGAGCAGGACACCAATATCCTCCTCTGGCCTCCATCCCCACACACATACACATGTACATACACGAACAAATAAATAAGAATTTAAATACTTGAATAAAACTATCAATAAATCAATATAGTAGTTCAGTTGCGAATTTTGTAGCTTACAGAAATTTTACATTCTTCTCTAATATTCAGTCACAAAGAACAAAGTTACATTAAAACAGTATGGAATGTAAACTCTATCATCGATGAGATTTATTCTGCAAAAGAGAACTAAAAAAAAAATCACAAAAAATAAATTTCAAAATCCTTAACTGCTTGTAAATTAAGAAACAGGCTCTTAAATAACTCTAAAAACATCAAAATTGAAATTGTTAATTCTATAGAAAATAAAGAGCACAGTCTTATTTTAAAGTTTATGTGTTTGGACGTTTTGCTTGCACCTCTATCTGTACATTATGTCTGTTAGGGGCTGGAATAAGCCAGAAGAAGGCATCAGATCCTCTGGAACTGGAGTTACAGGTGGTTGTTGGCTACCATGTAGGTGCTGGAACTGACCACGGATCCTGAAAAGCAGCTGGTGCTCTTAACCACTGAGCCATCTCTCTAGACCCAAGGGCATAGTCTTAATACAAAACATCTATTGGATACTGTTAAAATTGGACTCAAGAGACTATAAAATGATAGATAAATTAACAATTTAACTCAAAAAATGGAAAAAGAAATCAAAGTAAATAAAGAGAGGAAATTCACTTTTAAAAAGGTGACATTAATGGAATCACCATAGATAACTATAATCATAACTAAAATAAAAAGTGGCTCATTCAAAGCTCAATGAAAAAGGAAACGAATAAAAGAATACCAGCACTCCAGAGACAGAGGCAAGTAAATCTCTGAGTTCAAAGCCAGCCTGCATAGTGAGATCTTGTCTCAAAAATACACACACACACACACACACACACACACACACACACACGCGCGCGCGCGCGCGCGCACACACACACACTACAATAGTAACAACAGAAAGGGAGAGATGCCCTTAGCTATAGACAATAAATAGTGGGCTGGTAAAGATACAACAACTGGTCACAATTTACAGCACTTACTTGTTTTTATAGTATAAAATTGCCACTATGGTGGACTTGAAGCACCAGTGTATAGCCACTAAGCCCCAAATGCGAAGGAATGGCATAGAAATGGCAGCCAGTTCCAACCCACTACCGGATAGATACTAAAGTAATTACAAGGGAATATTACATATAAACTTATGACACATAGTTGAAAAGGTATTGAAATACTACCTGATTTTAGGTAGTATTTAGAAGAAGTGAAAAATATTGAGACTAATAACTTTTCTCAAAATTGGAAAGTTACTTGAAGATCTTAAAAGGCTCCAGGTCCAGACAGTTGAAGTGCTGAATTATAGAGTCTCTTGAAAGAACAGATTAGTTACATATCATTGTATTCATTTAAAACCACAGATAAAGATAAAAGGACCTCAAATGCATCTGGTGAATCTAGTATAATATCACAATACTCAAAGCCAAAAAAGATAATCAGAAATAGTAAGACTATAGATTTATTTCACTTCTGAATATATTTAAAAAATTCTAACTGCATTTAAAAATTAATTTTAACATGGTAACAAAGAAATAAAGTATTATTTTAGAAATAAAAGAATGACTTAACATTAGAAAATTTACCAACATATGGAACTATAGTAACACATTCTAAAATTTAAAAAATTCATTAGTCAAACCAAATGAAAACTCTAAATTTAAAAAAAAAAAGTTGCTTGAAGATGCTCAAAACAAATCACCAACATCATACTAGATGGTAACATGCTAAAGGTGACATGCCCTTTCCAGTAAAATCACAGACAAAGTGCGAATATCTGACATCATAGTTCTTGATGTTTGGTTGACGCAAAAGAAAATGAAGTAATTGGTGTATTTTTGTAAAGAAGATAAAAGCACCTTGGGTAATCCAAGAGACTACTTTACTATAGATCTAAAATTATCAGTACAGCACGAAAACACACAAAATCGAAAGCTTTTCTCCACATGCTTTTTAAAAGTGAAAATGAAAAAGTAACACATTTCCAACAGGTCTATAAAACACCTAGGATTCGATTTAACAAAGGGGAACAGTATCTATTTGGAAAAAAATATTAAAGAAATGATTTAAAAAATAACAACTGAAAAATATAGAGATGTACTATTATCAGGTTTCTTGATAGTGACCTCACATCATAAAAATACATTTCTTCCAAAAATTAATATGCAATTGTAATAAGATAATAATTACAACCTAAACTGAGTATGATTTATAACTGGATAAGAGTATTTTAAATTTCATATTAAAAAACAAGTATCTAAAACAATAAGAAAACAATGGAAAACAGACACCAGATGTTAAATATGTTTTGTTTTGTTCTGGTTTGTTTTGTGACAAGCTTTCCCTATATAGGGCTGGCTGGCCTGAATTATGTATCCTAGACTGTTGGTGTAGTCATGATGATCCTGCCTCAGCCTCCCAAGAACAAATATTATAGGTGTGTGCCATCATGCCCTGTCCAATTGTTAAAACCACTATAATTAAAATAATAAAGCATTGGCAGATGAGTAGAAAATTAAATCAATGGGACAGAAAACAGTATAGAATTAGAATTAAGTCCACATGAAGACTCAATATATGACTAAAGCAACACACCCATTTAATGAGAAAATGACTTTTTATATTTTAACAAATGGCCCTTACACAGTAACTATCTCCCTGGTAGTAAATTTCAAGACCTCATATATCCTCAAATAATGTCAGGTGTATTAATGTCTTAACTATAAAAAGTAAAATCATTTCAAATGTGGCAAGAAAGTTTTATGAAAGGGCTGAGTATGTAGCTCAGTTGGTAGTGTGCTTGCATGGCTTGCACGAGGTCCTGGGTTTTAACCCTACCACCATTTAAACTGGATGAGCTGGCACACACCGGCAACCCCAGCACTTGGGAGGCAGAGGCAGAAGTTAAGGTCATCCTTGACTGCATACAGTCCAGCTACATGAGGGCCCTATCTCAGATAGTGATGGAGGGGAAAAGGAGAGAGAGAGAGAGGTTGATTAAGTTAGTTGTGTAGAGAATTCCACAAGCTCCTAAACTCTTCTCATCAATCAGTGGCCTCCCCTTGGAAAACATTATTCATTCCCATGGTCTTGTGCATGTGTGGCCTATGAAGAGACTAACTCCCCTTTAATTTTGTGGTGCCCAGCTATAAGCACAGCAGTCCAGTCTTCAAACCTCAAGTCCCAGCACCTCCATGTTTGTTTGCAGCAAACTCATGGCACTCCTACTTCAGAGAAAAAATAACAATTATATCACAAAACACCCAACAAGCATCCCTCTTCAACCATTTTCCCTTCCTTCTGTCTTTTAGGGAAAGGAAAAGGGTATGTCTCTCTAGAAAGCTCACCCTCTCCCTGCGCTCTGGATCTCATTTTTCTCCTCTTTTGGTGTTCCTCACTTATGCAGTTAATACTCTTCCCTGTTCCTGCCATTCAGTCTCTCTCTGACAATTGGTTAATTTCCACTGGCATTTAACGAGACTTGTTTTCATATCATCTCAAACACTGAAAACCCATTTACTTCTTCTAGAAAGTCTGTCTTCCCTCAGCTTCCATGACACCAATCTCAGTTTTCTTCCTAACATTCCAGCTCTTCACACACATCTTAAATGCCAGTATTCTTAGAATGCTGGCATTCTTGCAGACTCGATTTTTGGTATTTTCATGGCTGAGATTTTTGCCTTGTTTTGGGGTGAGTGGTTGGTTTTTCTTTTTATTTCTCCTGTATTAAGGATTTATATAGGGTTTTCACATATGAGGGAAGCAATCTACCACAGAGCTACACCCTTTTTTACTTTATTTTGAGACAATGTCTCA